AATTATAAAAAAGTTAGTCATGCGCAATGAATTTGTAAGTCATACAAATTCGCACGCGTAAATAAAGCATATACCTAGTCCCACGATAACACGTATATCATCACTTTTATACATCGTTATCAATAATTAACGTTAATAGATTAATAAAATACAACAATCTGAAACATTCGATATTGTCGAAAAGTCCGGTCTTTATATAGCATGCATTCAGCAATTAAAAGAATTTAGGAAAATGTCGGAAAGTAAAATTCATAAATCGCTGATATAAGGGCCAATTTAACTATATTTAGTAAAGATTATATTGGAAGGTTTGAGAAACAGAACAACGAATTTGTTTGTAATTGCATATCGATATTTTATTAAACAAAAACGGTTTCCATCTTATCATGTGTATATAAAAAAAAAAAAGATGTGATACACATCGAGATTAGTTCTTTGTGATCCCATCTACTGCGCCATATGAAACATTTCTATCGATTTTATGCGATACCTGTTTCCCTAAAATATGTCACGATTTCATCCGAATAGTTTCGGAAAGTTTATCCGATTATATATACGTATAAGACAAAGTAGAATGTTCTTGTCAAACGGCAATCCTATGCGACCAACTCTGGATATAACAATCCATTTTGTGATGAACACGCCATACAACTTTTTTGTTGCATAAAACTATATAAATGGTTTTTTTTGAAATTTTTTTTCCTATCAGAATCGCTGGTGATATCTATGTAATGTGTCCTATGGCTAAAGTTTTACTAACTATAAATTGTTTTGTCAATCACTTCAAATTTAGGTCTTCGGGCAGAATCGACATAATAAAATCCCTATTCGTAACGATAGAAATTTCCTTGTTGGTCGACAATCAAATAAATAAATATTTAATGATCTTGGCAGCGTACAGTACTACTTGACCGAGTAGATAACTATTCACTTATCCTTGGATCCCTCTTGTAACCTTATTAATCTTCTAACCTTTCCTTTAGCATTAGGTTCTCTAGGATTTTCGAGTCTCGAACTCAACAAATATAAGGCGGATTTTTTTGTAGAACACGTGATTTAGCGGAGTCTTTATCACGCGTGTTACTGCGTATTTGTGTAATTGAGTAATTGAGTACGTATTTTTACTATAAAGTGTCATTTACTACGTACTACTTTTTTGACATTTCTAGATAACGTCTTTTCACGCACGTGAAAATGGGTTAGACGTTATCTATATAAGAAATGCCAGAAAAGAAATAGTAAATGACGCACTTTATAGTCTAGTCAACACAAATACAATGGACAAGCGATGAGTATGATTAATTAAACAATCGTTTTACGTAAACCATAAAGACACGATGTTATAAATTGAAGACCATTTTGAATTCAACATCAAGTTTTTATTTTCTTTATTCTTATTTAATTGCATGTTTAAAACCCAATGACTTGCTTACAATAAATGCAAAATGAAGTTTTTATAACTAGCAAATATTTGAAATTATCGCAAGGTTACTACGGTCGACTCTGGATATAACGAATCTTTCTATAACGAACTCAAAATTTGAAATTTCATGATAATTCGATCTAAAAAGTGCCATGAATTCTTAAGAAAATATAGTGATTTTCTATAACGAAAATTTTTTCTTCCAGAATCTTCAATTCGTTATAGAAAGAGTTTATTATTAATGTTGATAATTCCTATCGTTATACGGCCGTGTCGCAAATCACCGCCCACAATATGAAAACATGTTAAAAAATCGTACCTTATGAAAATATTTCAAAATAACGCCCATACGCGTCCCGAAATAACTCGTATCCGTATAAGGTATCAACTCGGCTAGAAGCAGTTACATACAGTAGTAATTCGAAATTTGAAAAGCTAGGTTCGAAAAAATTATCTTTGTCTCGTAGTAAGTAACGCCATGAGCGAATTCTAAATAACGCGCAGGTGGGCGTTGGTAATATAATTTTGCGTGTCCTAACTAAAAACCGATATTTTTATACTTATGCACTCTAAAAAGACATCAGCACCGAGCATTGATTAATTCATAGTTTAACACAGTAGAGATTCTAATAAAAATTGAGTTGCATTCCCAATAGCACACTTTGTTCGTGGAGAATTACTAATGCATTAAAATTTTATACAATCTTAAAGATGGTGTACTTACGTACGTACTTTCTATATTTGTGAGACAAGAGTATTAATCACACAGTATTAAAAATCTATCACGGCGTCAATTTAAATTTGCAATCAACTATATTTCGAAAACCCAAATATCTATTTAATTTATTTCATAAAAACTGCAACTTTAAATATACATTCTAAAACAAAAGCCAAACTACAAATTTGATAAAAATTGATTCTATTTATCTATATTACGTTGATAAAAAAAAAAAAAAGATTTTTTGTGATTAAGATGTATTTTATTAACAACATTACAAATAAACAATATTTAATATTCATTATATTTACCGGACCAATTTTATATATATGACGTAATAACATTTTGGTCTGGATTCAAAAATAATCACGCAAATAGTTACAATCCTGTTGCTACGTGTACCATAGCAGGGATAAATATTTTTCGCTTTTTTTCATCTTTCAAGTCAATACCTATTAACGGGAATGAACAAATCTGTACCACATCTTGGCAATCATGTTCAAATGTTCCTTGCATTAATTCTGGATCCACTTGATCATTGTACTCAAACCAATGAGGTGAATCAGCTTCAGGTTCTTGAACTTTTAGTCGGAAAAAGAAAATTCTAATAACATCTCGAACAATATTTGCTGCCATATTATTTAATTTGGTTATTTTGTTAGGATCATTTATTGTTCGAATACTGTTAATCTTTCTAATAAGTTGTTCTTGCGTTTCATTAATGAACGGGTGTTCTACAGTATCTTTCGATATAACTTTGGAAAATCCGCGGTTTCCAAGAACCGCATAGATTTGCTGGCGGAGTTTAATAGGCAATGCTCTGGTAACATCATCATCTCCTTCCCTGAACTTAGCAAAATGTTTCATTTTATCTAGTAAATTCTTTGTTTCAAATACAATACGAGTTTCGAGTGATCTCTCTTCTGTATTTTCATCGGGTAATCTTTCTTCAAAATATTTGCTAGTTGAATCTAAGATCGTTTCAAGAACAAATCGCTGAAGTGCAGCTTTGAGAAGTGACTTAAAGTGTTCATCATCTATGAATTTAGTACATCCGTATCGTCGCAAAAGATTCGTTGCCTCCTTCTTATTAATATTTATATTAGGTTTAACAATGCAGAAATCTTTTAAAGTTTGTTGCAGAGATGTAATGTCTTCTCTAAGCTGAACCGAATTGTTACGATCATCATCACTCAGTCGAAAATTTGTTGCTCTTCCCAAGGCGGATTGATGTCTTGATGCCTCATTTTTCAAATCTTCAATATCTCTACGAAGCCCTGATATTTCATTATTTTTTGCTTCTATTTCATTATTTTTTGCTTCTATTTCGTTATTTTTTGCTTCTATTTCGTTATTTTTTGCTTCTATTTCGTTATTTTTTGCTTCTATTTCGTTATTTTTTGCTCCTATTTCGTTATCTTTTGCTTTTAATGTTTCATGAAGATTTGTGATTTCATGAGATAACTTATCTGGCGCATACAATGATTGTTCCTTTGATCTCGTATTATTTTTATTATGCGTGGAAACCGATGTTACATTTCCAGTAGAAGATGGGGTAAGGTCCAAACATTCTCGCGTAGCTTTGTATCTTGTGACATAATTTTGTCCATATATTCCAGTATCTTCTATTTGTGAAACTAACAGAGTTAAGAAACTATGATTAGGTTATCTTTATTTTTTCTTTTGACTATTTTTTTTTTTTAAATAATTTGTTACCATTTTGTTCATTTTGTTGATTATTTTTATTTTTCGAACCGAAATTAAAAAGCTTTTCAAAAAAATTTGCCATATAGATCGATTATTGTTATGAAAAGTCCTGATATCGTTATACTTATCTTTTTTTGTTACCTTTGTGTATGGGAAAATCACACAAAAAAAACCAGAAAATCTTGAATAAATTTTACCATCTTGCAGGATTTCTTCTTTTTTTGGTATATTAATGGGGTCACTTAAAGAATGGTTTATTGCGGCAGTTTGTGGGGAAGAATTTGATGAAATCCGATATGATGACTTAAGAGAGCTCTTCTTTATTGACCGTGGAGGTTTCGGAGAAGTATATTCGGCAAATTGTGTATCTATTAACAAAACTGTTGCAGTAAAAAAGATCTTTCAATCCTATCTCGAGAAACAAGACGTCTTTGATGCTTTTATTAAAGAAGTATGGTTTAAAATAAACTATTTAATACGTAATTTTTTGCAGGCTAGCGCTAGTTAATGGTGTGGTATACTCCGGAGCAGCTCCGGAGTGAGCCCAACCCATGTTGGAGTGGGTTGAGGAATAGCTCAACCCACCCGACCCAACCCATTAACAACCCTACTAGAAAAGTTATCAGATAAAATTTTCTGATTTTCTATTCTATATAGTTAAAATTACATAAACAACTTGGTGATAGCAACAGGATTATCAATTTTCTTGGCATCAGTAAAGGTTGGTCATTTATAATTTAAAAGTTTTCTAATGAAGTTCAACCTTGATATAATCACCGGGTTGGTAACCAAAATTTAATGCGACTAAGGTGATAGTGACTATATAGAGGTTAATTAGTAGAATGAAAATCGACCTTTTTTATAATTTGTGACTATATCAAGTCTGACTGTAGTTTAAAGAACTTAGTTATAATAAAGTCTATTCTAGACCCAAATGATGGAAGTCACTTAATTGTGATGGAATTTGCTGATAGTGGCAGTTTACAGCAGTTTCTAAATAGAGAGAGAAACAATTTACAATGGACTGAGAAGCTTTCTCTTGCCCAACAGTTAGCTGAAGGAGTGGCCTATATTCATAGCAAGGATATAGTACACCGTGATCTTGTACGTCTTTTTATTCTTATATTTATTAAATAATACTGTGACTGAATCTCTTCACATTTAATGTTTAGCATGACAAAAACATTTTAATTCATCGGAGACAAATCAAAATTGCAGATTTTGGCATATCAAAAAATCTTAATAGCATACTTACCACTCAAGCACCTCTCGGTAGAGTGCCGTATGTAGAACCGAAATCTATTGCCAATCATAGTTATAAAAAGGATAAACGATCAGATGTTTACAGTGTCGGAGTACTGTTATGGGAGATATCTAGCTGCCGTTCACCATTCAACGGGTTTCATGATAATATTGAAATTTGCACATGTATTTTGAAAGGTGCTCGAGAATCACCAATTTCCAATACGCCTATTAAATATATGAAGCTCTATAAAAGATGCTGGGAGACAGAGCCAGAGTTGAGACCAGATATTAGCGAAATTGTAGTCCGTCTAAGCACGATGCGCCTGGAGCCAGTATATGGCCCGTTATTACCGGTAAACAACAGACATGTGAAAACACTTTCGCCGCCTATAAGTAAGATACTTTCAAATTAAAAAAATCTTAAATTATTCAACAATTCATGTACTTATTAATTAACGCAATTACAGATATGGGACATCATTCGACATTAATTTTTGATGAGAATCTTGCGATTCCATGTACACCGAATAACAAAAAGTCTCCGGATGATGTTAATTGTGAGCGTTGTGGACAAAAATTCACCAATGAATGGTGCAAGAATTGTGAATGTAAACGTTTTCGGAAAAATTTTGACTATTGGACGAGTGGCAATAAACAGCTTAATGAATTAATTAAGAAGTCACAACTTGAAGCAACGTACACGTCTAATTATATTGAATGGATAGAAAACGATCAACTAGAAGATATAGAAAACATTGTAAAAGGCAGACTTTCCACGGTTAAATCAGCAGTATGGCGCAATGGTCCTCGTGAAGTATGGGATGAAGAAACGGGTCAATGGGAAAGAGCCTCTAAAACTAAAGTGGCCATAAAGTATTTAAAAACGTCTGGTTCGGACTTTCAAACGTTTCTGAATGAAGTAAATTTAATTTTGCTATAATTTTGTTATGTCAATCTTTTTTTTTTCAAAAAATGCTAATATTTTTTGTAAATATTTAGGTTAAATTACATGTATGTTGTGATAAAGTCATTCGATGCTATGGGATCACAAAAGATTATCAAACTGGCGAATACGGGTTAGTTCAAAAGTATGCAAGTTATGGCAATTTACGTTCTTTTATAAATGAAAAGGATTTTATCAGCTGGTGGCAAAAATTAAAGATACTAGAAGGAATTATTCTGGGTCTGAATCAGATTCATTTAAGGGCTGGCTATTGCCATCGGGATCTACATTCAGGAAACATTCTAATCGACCAGGATGAATTAGGTGTATCAGTATTAAACTCATATATTACTGATTTTGGACTTTCCACTCCCGTTGACACTTATTCTGGAGTTAACAAAATTTACGGTGTGCTCCCATATATAGCACCAGAAGTTTTAACAGGACGTCCGTATACTCGGGCAGCTGATATTTATAGCTTTGGTATAATAATGTTTGAATTAACATCCAAAACTCCTCCATTCTATGATATAAATTATGATGTTTTAAGCTTGGCAACCAGAATAGTGAAAGGACAGCGTCCTAAAGTTGTCACCGGTACTCCGAAATGCTATGTCGATGTCATGACCAGGTGTTGGGATGCAGATCCATTAAAACGACCATCTAGTACCGAATTATTGGGAATAATTACAGCATGGAACTATAGTTTTAGGGATAAAGATCAATTTGATTCTGCTAATAGAAAAGTACGGGGATTCAAAAAACGTCCTTTTACTACGAACGACAAACTTTATTACACATCTAAAGCACTTTCAACTAAACTCATTTCAAAGTTAAAGCATCAAAGTGTTAAATATGAATCTATTGAGTATAAGTTTGATCAAAACTATCTTATAGTAAAAGGTGAAAATGTCGATTTTACTGGTTAGTGATCGCTAAGAACAATGTTTTTTTTATACATCTAAACCAACCTAACTATTCGATGTTAGAGCTTCAAAACGATAAAGACGATAACGACGATCCTATGGAAAAAAGTGAATAATTATTGTAGTTTACACTTATTTATCGACTAAGCTATAGCTGATTTCAAAATTCTGAATTGTGGCATTGTGGAATCATATTACATTATATGAGTGCTCGAAAGCGAAAATATGCAAGTCCGTAAATTCTCGAAATAACGCCCAGGGGTGAAATTACGAATTTTGGCCTAAATTAAGCTTAAGGGTAGAGTGTATGTCGATCATTTATCATATGATCTCAGTGGTACAACGGGATTTTATGCATAAATTAAAATACGTCAC